ACTAACCTTTACATATGCTTTACTAAATCATCAGCTCATACCCTCCAACGTACCTGCCCTACATCCATTTTTAGGCCTGATGTAAGTTATTTGGAACCGAGTCGGACCCCATCACCTTTGGCTTACTTAAAACTTCCCCTCCCTGTGTACTGTTTGTGACATAGCCTACTTGTTCCTTACCTCACTGACCCCAAACCCAACACACCCCACAGCAGCTGACCATAAAGAAACCTACTGGCCAATACCAGTCATGTAAGTCAGTTCTCCCCACCGCTCAGGTCCATCCAATCCACAACCACGCTGGGAAAGCCTGAGGGATAAGGCCCATGGACCATAACAAAGGCACGGTCCCACAGGTCCTCTCTGTTTCATTCCCCACCCACTGGCTAGCACCCGGCTGTCTCCTGACTTGCCATCAGGACCTCAAGGGCAACCCTCTTCTCATGGATCTGTGAGGAATAAAATGTTTCTGCTACTTGATGTGTTTTGTTGTGTTGCCTTTTCTGTATCTAACCCACCCAACACACCAGAACATCTCTCCTCTTGGTCAGGACAGGGCTAGAATTTACAGCCACTCTCCAGAGACAGAGGCCTCAGGACCGAATTAGAGGAACATACAAAAAGGGGACATGGGATGGACACTGTACAAGGGAGCGTTGCCTCCTGGATACAATTGTGGCACGATGGTCAGCAGTGTGGGTGTGAGGGCATTGGAGGGTGCTCTGTCCATGCCATGTGCCCAGAACACAGTCCTCAGGATACCACAAAACCCTGGCCCAGTCACCACCACCCTGTGGCCCTCCTAACACGGATGCCACATGCTCAAAACACTCCCACTAGCAGAGGCACCCTCTGCACATGTGCCAACCTGGCTTGATGGCTTGTGCCCCTCATGACGCAGACGATGCGCACACCAGGATGCATGCTGCTGCATGACCTGTGCCTCAGAGGTTTGTTCCCAAAGACCTCCAAATGTGGACAATGATGTCCCAAGCCTTGCAAACAAAGTGGCATCCAAATTTCCTGTGCATAGCTGCCATCACCATCAGTGTGAGTGTGCCCCAGAGGTGTGTCTGTCACAGCAGTTCCAGGGCAGACATGAAACATTCCAAGCCTCATAGCTACAGTGGTGTCCTGACTCCCCCTACAGGCTGACCCACCCATTGCAGCTGGCCTTTGACTTGGAACACTGCTTCAATCTTGCCTAAGGACTATGACCAACTCCAGTCTGAGTAATCCAGCAAACTTCACCATCCAGTGGGCTACAGCCACACTGTGGCCAAATATTTTAATATGACCCCAGAGATCCCCACCTGCTGGCATGCATACCCATAGAAAACACCCTCCTGTTGAGTGTATGCATGACCTCTGACCTGTTTCTAACAGAAGAATAAGCAAAAATGAAGACACTGCAGGTGTGACTGAGGTCTCAAGTCAGTTGAGTTTTTTTGTTTTGTTTTGTTTTGTTTTTAGACAGGGTCTCATTCTGATTGCCCAGACTGGAGTGCAGTAGCGCAATCTCAGCTCACTGCAGCCTCCACCTCCCTGGTTCAAGCGATTCTCCGGCCTCAGTCTCCCAAGTAGCTGGGATTACAGGCACCCACCACCATGCCCGGCTAATTTTTGTATTTTTTTAGTAGAGTCAGGGTTTCACCATGTTGGCCAGGCTGGTCTTGAACTCCTGACCTGAAGTGATCCAACCACCTTGGCCTCCCAAAGTGTTGGGATTACAGGCGTGAGCCACTGCACCTGGTCTACTTTTATCTTGATACACATATTGTACACATTACTGTTGCTGTAGGGCATGTATGTGTATAAACCTAGTATGTACTGCCAACAGTTTCTGAAATTGGTTTGCCAATACGCTCTCTAAAAAGTAGTATATGCACATCCTCAGCAACTTTATATCGGATCCGCATCAATGATTTCACTACGTGCGGCTAGCTCACTGGAACCCCTAAGTGCCAAACAGAGAAAATGTATACAATTTCAGTCTTCACTTAAAGTCGTCAACAGGTTCTTGGAAACTGAGACTTTAAGCAAAATGACATCCCACAAAGCAAATTTTTTCCCATGCTAAGTGATATAAGCGAGTTAAGCTCCCACAGCATATTTCTGGTCACAAAAATGTCACTAAACTGCTAAATAAAGACCCCAAACACTTCTAATATTAAATATTGAAATAAATGTGAGCTATATATACATTTTAAAAAGACTAATAGCCGGGCGCAGTGGCTCAAGCCTGTAATCCCAGCACTTTGGGAGGCCGAGACAGGCGGATCACAAGGTCAGGAGATCGAGACCATCCTAACATGGGCTAACATGGTGAAACCCTGTCTCCACTAAAAAATACAAAAAACTAGCCGGGCGAGGTGGCGGGCGCCTGTAGTCCCAGCTACTCAGGAGGCCGAGGCAGGAGAATGGCATAAACCCGGGAGGCGGAGCTTGCAGTGAGCTGAGATCTGGCCACTGCACTCCAGCCTGGGCGACAGAGAAGTGAGACTCCGTCTCAAAAAAAAAAAAAGACTAATAAAATGGGATGTTTATCCAATTTTGATAAATCAGTGTACGATCGAAGTGCTGGTGGTAAGATAAATCAACAAATAAATGTTCCAAGCAAAACTGTAAGGACTACCTCCTACCAAGCTCAAAAGCAGTAACAAATGGGGCCAGCTTGCTGATGAGTACCATTTACTGTTAATACATTTGTATCATTCCCAAATGTTTTAGGAATTTTATTTTACAATGATTGTATTCATTCATTCATTCTCCAATCCGCCTATTCCAGTTCCAGGATAAAATGGCCAGAGCCCATCCTAACAGCTCAGGAGGCACACACACACATTCATAGGGAGGCCAGATTTAGACATACCAATTAAGCTAACGTGCATCTTTGGGGGATGTAGGAAGAAAAAAAAAGACTAATAAAAATAGGATGTTTATCCAATTTTTGATGAATCGGTGTGCGATGGAATTAACAGTGGTAAGATAAATCAACAAATAAATGTTTCCAAAGCAAAAACTGTAAGGACTACCTCCTACCACCAAGAAGCTCAAAAACAGTAACAAATGGGGCCAGCTTGCTAAGTGGTACCATTTACTGTTGTACATTTGTATCATTCCCAAATGTTTTAGGAATTTTTATTTTACAATAGTTTGTATTCATTCATTCATTCTCCAATCCGCCTATTCCAGTTCCAGGATAAAAATGGCCAGAGCCCATCCTAACAGCTCAGGGCACACACACACACATTCATAGGGGGACGATTTAGACATGCCAATTAAGCTAACGTGCATCTTTGGGATGTGGGAAGAAACCAGAGTGCCCCGAGAAAACCCATGCAGACATGGGAAGAACGTGCAGAATCTACAGAGTGGCCCTGGCGGAATTAGATTTTTTTTCCCTCATGGATGTTATAATTAACAGACATTATTCTAAGATCTGTTGTATTTCCAGGCCATGTGGCCCCTTCACAGCTTTTTGGCAGCCCACAATGGCAGGTGAGTTTTCTGGTCATTTACTTACATGGAGTGTATCAAGCCAACCCCCTAGGTGTATGAGTGTCTGTAAGGAATCGCACAGAGTGTTTATTCTGGACATTCCTTCAGGGAAACGAAGGACTAATTTAGGTAGAAAGAGCCCAAAAGTGAATTTAAAAAAAACAACATTGAAAGAGGTTTTGTCTGTTTATGAATATACACATTTCCTAAAACTGATAATTAACATCAGTGAATTTTCACGGAGAGCTTATTTTTCAATGCTCAAGCACTGATTCTCACTAATTCCTTGAATTAATTTCTTATTCACGTAATTAAAACACATTCATGCTTCTCCTATTTTCCCTTGATTTACATCATTTGTCAGATATCACTTACTTTGGCCAGGGACAGTGGCTTACACCTGTAATCCCAGCACCTTGAGAGGCCAAGGTGGGTGGATCACTTGAGGTCAGGAGTCCAAGACCAGCCTGGCCAACATAGTGAAACCATCGCTACAAAGAAAAAAAATACAAAAATTAGCCAGGCATGGTGGCGCACACTTGTAATCCCGGCTACTAGGGTGGCTAAGGCAGAAGGATGGCTTGAAAACTGGAGAGGTGGAGGTTACAGTGTTGCAGTGAGATCCTGCCACTACACTGGATCCTGGGCAACAGCGAAACTCTGTCTCCAAAAACAAGATATCACTTACTTTTTCCTCTCAGTCATACATTTAAGATTAAATTATCCCATCACATTGTTTCCCCAACCAAAGAAAGAATACTGACTCTGTCAAACCTGGGGTAATCTTTGATGCACTCCTCTCTCTCACCCTAGAAATGGAGTCAGTCAATTCACAGAATGCTTTGGCCAGCTCTTACTTCCTTCCCCTTCAACATGGCTAAATCATACCATATTTTTTGGTCTCAGCTTGAATATCACTCTTTTCTTAGCATTGCCTATTCCAAAGAAAAATAGAGAAAATAATTCTGCCCTCTACTTTACTTACAGACCCTCATCAATTTGTAATACACTTATTTGCTTGGTTACATGACAGCCTCCTCCCCTACTTTACAACCTCCCTAAGAATAGCCCTTAGCTGAATTTTTTTTACTATGCTTTAATTAACCATTCAGACACTCATTCTTTTACAGGATACACCAAGAAATGAAGGATACATTTAAACACAGCACAGAATACAATCAGAACTACCAAAATGTATAACTTTCTGAAAGAATGAATGACTCCGCAAAAAGACAGTATAACGGATAAACAGTGTCTGCTAGTTTTAAAGAGACTAAAAGACATGAAAACTTGGATACATATTAGATTTCAAAACAATCAAAAACACACATTGGAACAAAGTGGAGAACTGTACCTTTTTACACAGGGTACATATTAACAACATTTTAAATTTTCTTGGTTCATAGTATTATGGTTTTAAAAGGACATGTCTTTATCTATAGGACACGTATTAGCAAGCATTTAAACCTTAGGTGTCACGCCTGTAATGTTCAACTTACTTCAAAGCCTCCATTCTTTCTTCCTATAAGCCCCTGTTTTGAAGCTCTGTGGGGAGGTACAGGCCTAGGAAGTTCAGATAAAAAGAACAGCTAGTTGAGTATTCTTGCTTTTCTTCAGTAGAAAGACTTGCGGTCTACAAACGTTTATATTCACATAGAGAAATAAGCACACCCTAGATACCTAAAAAGTAGCTTTATGTTTCTACCTGAATGTAGTGTGTCAAAAGTAAATACAGGATGCGCAAAAAGAAAAACAAATTCTCAGACAAAACAGGAGGAAAAAGCCCCCGAAACCAACTTTCACCCCGGTACCCACCCGGACGCGCCAGACTCGCCAGGTCCAGGAGATGAGGGGGACGAAGGACCACAGTCAACCTGACTCGAACGGCGAAAACTCGTTTCTGGAAAAAAAGAAAGACAAAAAAAAAAAGGCACAAAGATTGCTTTGGAGGACTTTGAAGCGGCAATCACCGTGTTTGCAAAAATCGTGAGGAAGCGCACTTACGAGAGATCCCGAAACGGCTCCTGGCCCAGGGCCGTACCAGCGACAGCTTGAGGGGCTTTTTGGCCCCGGCGGACGCGAGGGGGGCAGGCAAGGCCTCTCTAAAGAGGCCCCTCGGCGGCCTGGGGCAAACTGGCACGTCCACCACCCCTTTCACCGCTGGCTCCCGCCAGCTATCCGACCTCGCCAAAGCTACGTTAAGCCCTAACATCACCAGGAAGAAAAGTGGTTTGGCTGCGCGGAGAAAGCGCCGGAAAACACAGCAGCGCTCCGCTGACGTCACTTCCGTCTCCAGCCTCGAACCTGGAAGAGCGCTTAGGGACTGCAATCTCAGCCAAGCTGAACGTCCTCAGGCAGAGCGATTCTGGTTTACTCCCCAGTGGCTACGGAGACGCCTTGGAGACCTTGGAGTTGGCTCAGCTTGAGGGATGGAGGCCAAAAGGGGCCCAGAGCACAGGGTTGAGGTTCGAACCAGGCCTGCGGACTGGGCCGATACCTAGGGTGGGGTCGGTGGTGTTGGCAAAGTTAGAGGTGGGGGCTCCCCCACAAGATGCGCGCAGTGCTCACAAAAAGCTTTTTTCACCTCCTCCCACGTTCCTAGCACCCTCAAAATGATTCTTCCGTTGATAAACCTGCCAGTCCATGATATGGTCTATCTCCTCCATTCATTCAATCTAGTTTTTTGGGTTTTCTTTTGGAGAGAGGGTCTCACTGTGTATACAGTCCAGGCTGGCGTGCTGTAGGGCGAAACTCCTGGGCTCACGCGATCATCTCGCCTCAGCCTCCCGAGTAGCTGGGACTACAGGCGCAAGCCACCACCCCTGGCTAATTTTTTTTCCCCCCATATATGAGGTATGTTGCCCAGGCTGATCTCAAACTCCTGGGCTCAAGCCATCGTCCAGCCTCGGCCTCCCAAGAGGCTGGGATTACAGGCGTGCACCACGGCGCCGGACCCAGTTCAACTTCAGGCCAATATTTCCCCTTATTTCATTTGTCTGGACACCATGCTAAATTCTAATCGTTGATTCCTTTGTGTTTTCAGTATGCTGATACTTTTTGTAAATGTTGATTTTTTTTTCTTTGAATAATATGTTTTCTGAGCTCTTACCGTGAGTTCCAGGGCCTCCCATACTGCGTTGTAAAATAGCACTGGTATCAGACAGCCACTTCTGCAGGAGTGATTGTAGTTTCTCCAGAAATCATTTTTGCTGTGGTTTGTAGTGGGTGGCCTTTCTGGAGTTAATGAAATTATTTTGAAAACTATTTTACTAACATGAAGAACTATTCATGTACATTATCAAATATATTATGAATCTATTGAATTGATAACTATTTTGCAGTTAATTTTTCATCTAAAAAAGGATTTTCTTTTTTTAAGTTTCCTCTCTTGCATTAAGATGTCTCCATAAACTCTAGATTACATATAGATTTTCTAATTTTCTTCTGCAGCATATTACTTTAAAAACATTGAAATCTTTCATGCTCATGGAATGTGTTTCAGCATGTGGTGTGGGATAGTAGGTAGATACAGTATCTTTTCTCTCCAGAAACGTGGCTAATTATTGTAGTACCACATATTGATAAACTGTCCTTGACTTACTGATTTGAAATTCCATGTCTATTAAACTATAAATTCCTATGTATACCTGTATCTGATTTTAGACTCTACGCCAGTGATACATTTACTTATGCCAATATCAAGATCATAATCTTTTCATTCCACTGGTTTTATATCAACTAATAATATTCCGTGGTAAAAAAATAATAATGGTAGCTTGTTAGTTTGTTTGTTTTTGAGACAGTCTTGCTCTGTTACCCAGGCTGGAATAAAGTGGTACAATCTCGGCTCACTGCAACATCCACCTTCTGGGTTCTAGGGATTCTCCTTTCTCAGCCTCCCGAGTAGCTGGGATTACAGGCACGCACCACCACACTCAGCTAATTTTTGTATTTTTTTTTTTTTTAGTAGAGATGGGGTTTCGCCATGTTAGCCAGGCTGGTCTCAAACTCCTAACCTCAGGTGATCTGTCCACCTCGGCCTCCGAAAGTGCTGGCGTGAGCCACCGCACCTGGTGGTAGCTGTTTTTTATGTCTTACTACCCCAAATGCTTAATAGACATTAAATTTTTATGCTCCCAATGATGTAACTATTATCATGATTTTCCCTTTTGGTTTTTAGACCAGCTTTACTGAGATACAATTCATATATAACAAACACAGTTCACCCACTTAAAGCTATATAATTCAATATTGTTTAGTACATTCACAGTGTTGTTCAAACATAATTTTGGAACATTTTCATCACACTAAAAGGAATCTCTGAATGGGAAAATCCATTTACCTCCTCTTTAAGCTCCAGGGAACCACAAACCTACTTTATCACTACAGATTTTCCTTTTGTAGACATGTCATATGGATATAATCATACAATTTTTTAATTTTAATTTTTCTTTTTGTATAGACAGGGTCTCACTAGCACAGGCTGATCTCGAACTCCTGGGCTCAAGCAGCCCTGCCTCAGCCTCCAAGAGTGCTGGGGTTATAGGCATGAGCCACCATGCCCTAAAACCATATAATCTTTTGTGAATAACTTTTTTCACTTAGCCTGTTTTTCAGGGTTAATCTGTATTATAGCCTAGATCATTCTATTTTATTGCTGAATGATATTCCATTCTATGTATATACCATATATGATTTGTCTTCACTTGATGGATATTTGAGTTGTTTCCACTTTGGGGGTATCGTGATTAATGCTGCTTTGAAAATTCACATGTATCTTTTTGTGCGTATTGGCTTTTATTTTTTGTTTTGAGAGATCACGGCTCACTGCAGCCTCTACTTCCTAGGCTCAAGCGATCCTCCCACCTCAACCTCCTGAGTAGCTGGGACCACAGGCATTAAGCCACCACACCCAGCTAATTTTTGTATTTTTTATAGAGACAGGGTTGTGCTCAGGCTGGTCTCAAAGTCCTAAGCTCAAGTGACCTGCCCGCCTCGGCCTCCACCGAGGCATAAGCCATGGTTTTTGTTTCTCTAGAGTATATATCTGGGAATGGAATTGCTGAGCCATGCAGTAACTATTTATTTAAGATTTTGAAGAGCTGCCACACTGTTTCTGAAAGGGGCAGAACTGTTTTACATTTCCACCAGAAATATATGAGGCCTCCAACTTCTACGTCCCTGCCAACACTTTAGTCTTTTTCATGTTAACCATGTTAGTGGTGTGAAGTGATATCTCATGATTTTGACTTGTATTTCCCTAAGACTAGTGATGCTGAGCACAATTTAATGTGCTTTGTTAGCCATTTGTATGCTTCTTTGGAGAAATTTCTGTTCAAATCCTTTGCCCCTTTTAAAATTTGGTTTCTGCCCAGGCGCGGTGGCTTGGAATCCCAGCAATTTGGGAGTCTGAGGCGGACAGATCACTTGAGGCCAGAAGTTCAAGACCAGCCTGGCCAACATCATAAAAGTTATAAAAATCACCCAGGCGTAGTGGCACACACCTGTAATCCCAGCTACTCGGGAGGCTGAGGCAGGAGAATCGCTTGAACCCAGGAGGCAGAGGTTGCAGTCAGCCAAGATTATGCCACTGCACTCCAGTCTGGGTGACAGAGCCAGACTCTGTTTTGAAAAAAAATAAAATAAAAGTCCGAGTGCAGCGGCTCATGTCTATAATCCCAGCACTTTAGGAGGCTGAGGCAGGCAAATCACCTGAGGTTGGGAGTTCGAGACCAGCCTGACCAACATGGAGAAACCCTGACGCTACTAAACATACAAAAATTAGCCAGGCATGGTGGCACATGCCTGTAATTTCAGCTATTCGGGAGGCCAAGGCAAGAGAATCGCTTGAACGCAGGAGGCAGAGGTTGCGGTGAGCTGAGATGGCGCCAGTGCAATCCAGCTTGGGCAACAAGAGCAAAACTCCATCTTAAAAAAAAATTTTCATTGAGTTGCAAGAGTTCTTTATATATTCTGGAGAGGTCCTTATCATATATATGATTTACAAATACTTTCAATGGGTTTTCCTTCTGTTTCTTCATGGAATATTTTAGAATACTAAAATATATAATATTGATGAGTGTCTTCTGAAATACGAGTTTAATGTTGAAAATTTTTTGTTCACAATATTTTTGATACTGCACCTAAGAAAACATTACTAAATCCAGTATCATGACACTTTCTCCCTATACTTTGGGAATTATTGTAGGTCTTACATGTTTAGGTCTTTGATCCACTGTCAGCTAACTTTTGTGGGTTTTTTTAATATTTTAATTTTTTTTACTTAATCCCCAATGTGGTATTCGTTAACTTTTGTATGTATGTAAAGTAAAAGCCCAAATGCATTCTTTTGCAGTATGGTATCAATTTTTCCCAGAACCATTTGTTGAAAACATTCTTTTCATTCTTCATTGAGTTACCCTGGCAGCTTTGTAGATCTGTTGACCATGTATGTGAGGGCTTACTTCTGGACTCTCCATTCTATTCCATTAATCTGTATGTTTATCCTTAAGCCAGTGCCACGTTGTTTTGATTACTACAATTTTGTAGCACTTTTTGAAATCCAAAAGTGTGACTCCTTCAACTGTGTTCCTCTTTTTCAAGGCTGTTTTGGCTATTTGGTGTTCTTTTCATTTCTATATAAACTTTATGATGAGCCTGTCAATTTCTGCTATGAAGCCAATGTTAAATTAAAAAAATAATAATAAATGGAACTTGTTGGGTGGGCGCGGTGGCTCAAGCCTGTAATCCCAGCACTTTGGGAGGCCGAGACGGGTGGATCACAAGGTCAGGAGATCGAGACCATCTTGGCTAACCCGGTGAAACCCCGTCTCTACTAAAAAATACAAAACAAAAAACTAGCCAGGCGAGGTGGTGGGCACCTGTAGTCCCAGCTACTCGGGAGGCTGAGGCAGGAGAATGGCGTAAACCCGGGAGGCGGAGCTTGCAGAGAGCTGAGATCCGGCCACTGTACTCCAGCCTGGGCGACAGCGCGAGACTCCGTCTCAAATAAATAAATAAATAAATAAATAAATAAATAAATAAATGGAACTTGTTAAAGCACAG